TCCTCATGCTCTTTTTTTCTATCTAACAATAATGACCCACCTTAAAATCTTTCTTTACGTTTGTGCCGATGTAGTTTTCTCCTGGGATGATGAGGGCGTATGGCTCTAGGAGAACTTGGAAAGGGGCCACAGAGCCTTTCACCTCAATTTCCAGAACAATCACGTTAGCTGCAGGTAACAGGATGTCATCCAGGTCCTGTATCTCTGAACTGAATACACACCTGCCATGAGTTTGCTGCCGACATAGCCTGGAAGCACAGCCCTGCATATTCCAACCCTCTGCTCCACAGTTCTCGTCCTTCTGTGGGAACAAAGTGCTCCCTTGTCTGTTGTTGTGGTTGTTAAGTGTGGTCAAGTCGAGCACGACTCAGCGACCCTATGAAAAAAAGACCTGAATCCTGTTCTGTAACTATTGCCATTTTTCTAAGTTCATCGAGTTTCCGGAAGCATGTTGTTTAGGAAGTGGATACCACTCCTGCTTCCAAGCCTGTCTTAATCCGGGAGCGCCACCAAACCCTGTCCACCACGGGTAACCATTATGGCATCAGACACACTAACGGCACAGTGTTCAGTATCACAGCAACCTCAGGGCACCTCAGTAGAGCAAACTGACAGACCAGTGCTGTACCACTTAGAATGTTCATTCTGAACACAATTAAAACCAGGCTCAAGGGCCTAACAACTCTTCAATACCCAGGACTGTGTCCCAGGTCCTGATTGGCTCTAAACAAGGGGCTTCCAGCCTACAGCTCGTTGCTAGCCAAATCCAGCAAACCTAATCAGCTCACACACCATTGTGAACAAAATAAAAACCACCAGTCCACACCCAACCTTCAACCAAGACAAGAAGAGCCCACTTTTCAAAATCCAACGGCTTCACACGTGAGCCTCCAAGGTGAACCCCTGGCCTCTAGGTCCCTAAAATCAAAGGCATCGACTGATGATGCACTGATGCCCTGAAGGGTGAGACAAGCCTAAGGCTGCAACAGGGTGTAGGGCCAATGACCAGGGCAGCTTCCACCAGCTGCCTCCAGAGAACCTAAGGCAGTGCGCAAAGCTGATGGTTGTTGTTGCTGTTGTTGTTGTGTGCCGTGGAGTCGTTTGTGACTCATAGCGACCCTATGGACAACAGCCCTAAACCCTGCTCTATCCTGTGCCAAACGCATTGCCTCTGACACACCCATCCCGATTATCCCAGTCACTGAATCAATCCACCTCATAGAGGGTCTTCCCCTCCTGCGCTGTCCCTCTACTCTACCCAGCATGATGTCCCTCTCCAAAGACCTCTCTCTCCTTACAACATATCCAAAGTATGTCAGACGAAGCCCCAGAATCCTTGCCTCCAAGGAGCAGCCTGGTTTAACCCTCTCCAGGATGAATCTGTTTGTTTCCTTGGCAATCCACGGTACATTCAATACTCTTCTCCAGCACCACAGCTCAAAGGCATCAATTCTCCTTCTATCCTCCCTACTCATTGTCCAACTCTCTGATGCATAACAAGCGATTGCAAAGACCATGGCCTGTATCAGGCACACCTTAAGTCTCCAGAGAGACACCGTTGCTCTTGAGTACTTTAGAGAGGTCCCTAACAGCAGACTTTCCCATCGCGATACGTTTTTTAATTTCCTGGCTGCTGGTGCCAAGAGTGTTGACTGTGGAGCCGAGCAAACTGAAGCTGTGAACAATCTCAATCTCTTCGCCATCCATCCTGATGCTACCGATTGAAGAGACCTTCCTAATTGGTTTACTTAAGAGATACAGTCCTACTACCTGGAGGCCACCAGCCTGGCTGCGTGTGCGTGTGCATGTGTGTGTGTGTGTTAAGGCTCTTGGGTGGCCTACAGGAGTGGCCAAGCCCGCTCCAGGACAAGGTCAAGTGCTACCACTCACCCAGGCCTCCTGACATCAGGATCCTTATCTCCCCCTGACCCAGAATCATCCCCAAGGAGAAGCAGGCCCAGCTGCCCACCTGCCGTCCCAGAGCCGAGGACTGGCTCACCTTACAGGCTCCAGGACGCTCTCTAGCACCATCTGGAGCACGCTGTGGGAACCTCTCGGCTGTAAGACAAACAGCCTCCTGAGGAATGGCTGGTTGCAGGTAGGCTGGCACGGGAAGGAGGCGGCCATGGCGTAATTCCATCCCTACTTGACTCAACCACCAGGAAGGCCTCCAGGAGAGCAGGAGGCTGCTTCCCTGCCCATGATTCCCCACACTTTGAAGAGAAGAGTGGCTAACAGGATCAGAAGCTGGCAGCTGCCATCGACTAAAACCTGGTGTGCCTGCCTTAGCCGGACGCAGGGGACAGGAAGGAGAGGCCCTCTGACCTGCACACCGCCCCTGTGGCAAGACCACCAACATGTCTGAAGCATTACACCTTCCCAGAACAATGAAGTTGCTGGTGACGGGTCTGCGTAACATGTTCTTAGTCCCAAATCCACCAACAAGTCTCCCTAAGCGTCTTTCACTCTCAGTTCTCATTTCCCTCTTTTCCACTGTACGAAGGGCCACTCTGGTGTACACAGCCTCTCCCTGGGAACCCTTCAGCTCATCCCCTCCAGGGGCCCTCAGTGTCTGATCTGTGCAGAAACACGGACAGCACCAGAGCTGAGCAAACAAGCCCAGGATCCTGCTGCCGGCCGAGTGTGTCTGACAGGCACCAAACGAGCCGTTTCATGCCGCACATCAGACACACCCTCTGGCCACCCCCCCACTCCCGGCCAAGTGCCCACCTTGGTGGGACACCTGTGTAACCAGCAGGCCCAGCCATGGCTTCAATGTCATGTCAGTAAAGAACATGGGTGGAGGTCAAAACACCACAACCTACGAACTCCTGGCTCCCAGGACGGCCCCCATTTCACCTTATGAGGAGAGAAATGCAGGATGAACTCATGGTCCATATGCGGCCCAAGCACCCCTCTTTCAGGGAGGATGGAGAAGGCCGTGTCCAGGTCAGGGTGACACTGGATGCTCTCCAGGTCATAGGGCTCCCCTGGCATCAGGCACTGCAGGTTGGGCTTCACGGTCTGCCAGTGGAAGGGCAGCTCCACATGCCTGTGAGGGGAACCAGGGCAGTGGGCAGGGGGCCAAGGCCATAGCCCAGTGTGGCCAGACCCAGGCCCCCCAACCCCAGGCTCCGTCTGGCCCTGCTCTGAGAAGTAATGGGAAAGACTTCAGAAACAGGAAGTGACGCCATCAGCCTTTGGATCTTTACCATGGAGGAGTCTGGGGAAGTAAGGGGTCACAGGTGAGCTGGAGTCCTTCTCCCTCCACTCACGACACCTGGATGCTAGGGCCATGGCAACCCAGGGGACGACAGACTATGGAATCCTGCAGCGACCATTAGACTTAGAGTGCAGGCATCTCTCCAGGCGTCAGCCAGAGTGTCTGCAGTGTCTCTTCTCCCGTGAGAATTCTAAAGATCTGACACGTCAGCCCCACCCCTGCCCTCCACCTCTCCAGCTCTTTCTCCCAGGACATCCCTATCTGGAAAGAGACATGCCCAGGGGGAGCCAAGGAGGACAGTGACCACTCCATAGTCACAGGAAAGGATTACACAGGGGACTCCAGACACGTGGCTGAGGGGCAGCTATCAGGAGAGTCAGATGCCTGCCCAGCAGCAGTGGAGGGCGTCCTGTGTAACACCTGGAGTCACCAGGCCAGCTCTTCTGAGGGTCCCCGAGGTATGCCCTGGTCTAATGATACTCAGAGGGTGGTTATGGGATAAAGACAACGGGAAGAGAAACCAGAGGTCACGCCCGTCTGATCCTTGGCACTTGGGTTGGCAGGGCAGGATCCTTCTGGGAAAGTGGGTACAGCTGGCCCAGACCAACACTATCCAATCTAACTTGCTGCAACAAATAGGAATGTTACACAGTTTTCATTTTAATGAATTGAAACATAAAGCGCTCACAGCTGGTGGCTACTATACTGGGCAGTGAAAGTGTGCTTCCTCCCATTCTGTCTCTGGGCTCCTCAGTGGCCCCTGGAAGGACCCCCTGTTCTCACGAGGAGCTCAGGGCCTGCTTGTGGAGGAGGGGAGAAAGGGTGCGTTGCACAGGATACACTCACGTAATGTTCCTAATGATCAGCTGTTTCTTAGCGGTGGACCGAAGGTTTTCAGGTTCAAAGCGTATGAAGTGCTGGGCTGTCAGGTCTGTCAGCTCTCCAGGCTCTGGATGACTTTTCTCGCCAGACACATAGATCAGACCCAGAGCAGCCAGCTGCCCGCATCCTGGCAAAGGAGGCGCTGAAGTTCAGGACTGGAGCTCAGGGCTGAAACCAGCACTGTGGCCAAAGGCTGCCACGGGCCCCACACTACCCGTCACCCACACAGGGTGGCCTCGGCCTGCATCGGAGCCCACTGTTACCTCCCCAGAACCATCGCCCACTCAATCCCTGAAAGGGCACAAAAGAGGGATGGGGGCCAGTCAGCAGAACCCCACAGAGATCCACCCACCCACGCAGATTCACATCCTCATGTCTTTACAGAGCCAAAGGAGGTAAGGATGGATGGATGAGTGAGTGGATAAATAGAACGATGGCTGGATGGAGGGATGAGTGGGTGGATGGGTGGATGGATGGATGGACAGATGGACGGATGATAAGTGAATGGATGCATGAAAGGATGGATGGATGGAGGGATGGATAGATGGATGGAGGGATGGATGAGTGAACAGATGGATGGATGGGTGAGTTGATCCACAGAAACAAAGAGAAAAGGGAGACAAGTATCCTGTTCTCAGCAGGCCGCTCCCTCAAGCCCCCTGGAAAGCACGAAGCATCTCCAGTTGTTTAAGTGGAGGTCACAGGAAATTTCCTACAGAAGATCAACGGGACTTAGAAGGCGAAACACCAGAAGGCTGCAGTCAGGTCCCCTCGGGTTCTCAGCGTCATTCTCCCGGGGAGTGTCTAGGAAGCCACACCTGAAAGATTCTGAGGTCTGACCAGAATGACGGGCCCACAGCTCGACCCCAAGGCCTGGCGGCTCTGACAGCCCTTCTGTGCACTCCCCAACCAAGAGCCCGGCTGTGCCAGCGACACCAGCACTTCAAGGGAAGGGGGAAGGGCGGGCAGGAAGCACCAATGTCCACTCCAGTCCCATCCGGGGAAGTGCACGTGAGCCCACCTATCGTCACCAGCTCCTTCATCTGGCAGTTGTCACACGTGATGACGAAAGTCTGCTCTGCCTTTTCGAGGCTCTCTGGAAAGAAGATGACCTGGGCAGAGACACTGCCCTGTTAGCTCCACTGACTGGCTCCCACCCCACCTTCTGCTCTCCCCTCTTCAGAGACCCCCGTGCACCTCCTGGTGTCCCACCCGCCCTTCAGCACACCTAAGACTGAGGGTTTCAGCCCAGGCCCCAGCTCAGAGTCACATGAGGAAGGGTGCGTGCTGAAATGAAGTGGAAAGAAAATCCACAAAACGGAAAATAAAAACAGCCCTTAAACAAATATTGACACAGTGTGAGGGCTGGGATCAATGTGACAGGACTACATTCTCCTTTCAAGGAGGAAGTTTGTCCCTTTGGGGATGTAACTTTCTAATAAATCTATGTTTACTCCTTTACCCTAAAAAAAAAATCCACAAACAAAACACTACAACCCACAACACCTACATGTGTATGAATAATTCAATGAAAAACCAATTTATTCTGCAAACTCTCACCCAAACCACACAAAAAAATAAAAAAATAACATGTTCAACTTAATTTAGAATAAAATAAATGCAAATAAAAAGCGATTCAAAGAACCATTTTTCACTTATAATTTTGGCAAAGAATAGATAGAAAGCCAGTTGCTGCATGCAATATGGTGTTCGGGGTTGTTTTTTTGTTGTTGTTTAAATTTTATTATTTTGTGTGTGTGTACTGTCAATAATAAGATCTGACTGGTACAGGAGGAGATTGCCCCTCCTTCTTCAGCAGAGCATCAGGTGGATTTGAACCAAGCACCTCTGGGATTGCAGTGTGGCTTCTTGCCACTAGGCCACGGTCTTGAATGTAATCTAGAGAGGTGGGGCAGGGGTGGGCGTGAAGAATGTCGGGAGGAGATTCCATAAAGGTGACAAAGAAATGATAATTGTTTCCAGAACACATAATTGTACTCACGTAGAACCTGTGCATATCATTCGAACACACACAATTGACAGAATGGTTTAAAAAAAAAAAAAAAAAAAAAAAAAGAGAAATGATAATTGTTAAAGTTGGGGGAGGGGTACATGGGGTCACAGCAACAATACTGTGACTTTATTTTTGCGCATGTACAAAAATTCTCACTTGGTTTTATTTGCTGGTTTGTTTTAAGTTTGGTTATATGTTCTATGGGTAAGTGTAAGAAAACAGGAACCGTCACACATTGGAGGTGAGAATAAAAGGAAATTGGAACAATCTTCATGAATGGGATTTTAGCAACATGTATCAAACACTGAGAGCCCAGACTCTTGATCCAGAAATGACCTTCAGGTCAGAGGGCTCCTCAGAAGTGGGGCTGGTGAGATTTAACCTCAGATACTCTGAGCATCTTATCAGGAGGGACCAGTGCCTGGACAAGGTCACGCTTGGAGAAGCAGAGGGTCAGTAAAAGAGGAAGCCTTTCAATGACACAGGTGAGCACAGTGACAGAACAATGGGCTCAACGGGCAGTGACTGAAGGTGGCAGACAAGCAGGCGGGCTTTGTTCTGCGGCAGAGAGAATTACTAGAAGTTGGAGCCAACTGGATGACAAGTGACAACCACAAAGTCCCTAAGGAGAAGGAAACATACACTAACGTCCACTGACCCACCTCTATTAGTACAGCCTGTCTTGGGGCCAACTCAAACACTGACGGCAGGATTCCGAAGGGAGGTTGCTCAACAAAGCCCGAGGTCACCACGGCCTTAAGGAAAAGCAAAGGGCACACAGTGGTGAAATTGATGCTCAAAGTGCAGCGTTCTGCCCTCCCAGGACCCACTTGGCAACTCCAAGGAACCAAAGGGTCCTGTGCAAACGGCATAACTCAAACAGAGGCGTGTGTGCTCAGCAAGCAACTTTCCAGCCTTTGCCAGGCATGAGAGAATTCTGAAGGTTCAAGAGTCTTAGAAAATATGCAAGAAAGGGGACGGCTGGGAGGGGGAAAGGAACAACACTGCTGAAGGACAGGGAGAGGGAGGGGGAG